AAACAGTATACACGTGGTCACAACACTATAGTACTGTAGTAGACAGTATACACGTGGTCACAACACTATAGTACTGTAGTAAACAGTATACACGTGGTCACAACACTATAGTACTGTAGTAAACAGTATACACGTGGTCACAACACTATAGTACTGTAGTAGACAGTATACACGTGGTCACAACACTATAGTACTATAGTAGACAGTATACACGTGGTCACAACACTATAGTACTGTAGTAGACAGTATACACGTGGTCACAACACTATAGTACTGTAGTAAACAGTATACACGTGGTCACAACACTATAGTACTGTAGTAGACAGTATACACGTGGTCACAACACTATAGTACTGTAGTAAACAGTATACACATGGTCACAACACTATAGTACTATAGTAAACAGTATACACATGGTCACAACACTATAGTACTGTAGTAAACAGAATACACGTGGTCACAACACTATAGTAAACAGTATACACGTGGTCACAACACTATAGTACTGTAGTAAACAGTATACACGTGGTCACAACACTATAGTACTGTAGTAAACAGTATACACGTGGTCACAACACTATAGTACTGTAGTAGACAGTATACACGTGGTCACAACACTATAGTACTGTAGTAGACAGTATACACGTGGTCACAACACTATAGTACTGTAGTAAACAGTATACACGTGGTCACAACACTATAGTACTGTAGTAAACAGTATACACGTGGTCACAACACTATAGTACTGTAGTAAACAGTATACACGTGGTCACAACACTATAGTACTGTAGTAAACAGTATACACGTGGTCACAACACTATAGTACTGTAGTAAACAGTATACACGTGGTCACAACACTATAGTACTGTAGTAAACAGTATACATGTGGTCACAACACTATAGTACTGTAGTAAACAGTATACACGTAGTCACAACACTATAGTACTGTAGTAAACAGTATACACGTGGTCACAACACTATAGTACTGTAGTAAACAGTATACACGTGGTCACAACACTATAGTACTGTAGTAGACAGTATACACGTGGTCACAACACTATAGTACTGTAGTAGACAGTATACACGTGGTCACAACACTATAGTACTGTAGTAAACAGTATACACGTGGTCACAACACTATAGTACTGTAGTAAACAGTATACACGTGGTCACAACACTATAGTACTGTAGTAAACAGTATACACGTGGTCACAACACTATAGTACTGTAGCAAACAGTATACACGTGGTCACAACACTATAGTACTGTAGTAAACAGTATACACGTGGTCACAACACTATAGTACTGTAATAGACAGTATACACGTGGTCACAACACTATAGTACTGTTGTAAACAGTATACACGTGGTCACAACACTAAGCGATGAATCTGTTTAACGACAATGCAATGTCACATTTCCGCGAAATCCTCAAAAGGAGGCAAAAGCGAGTGTCATTGGGATAGGTTCCTTGCTAGAGTCGCATTCCACTGCGCCAACAGATGGCGGTGATTCAGTTAGTGACAGTGAAAGTCGTCCTACACAATAACCCTCCTCCTCTTCTCCTCTCTCTCGTCTCCCTCACACCAGCCACGATTAAATTTAATTTATAAATTCGATTACTTAACATTAAATTTAAATAATAAAAATATAAAAAGGGATTTTGTATTAATCATTTTTACATGCATATTTTTGGGTTGTGGAACGAATCATCTGAGTTTCCATGATTTCTTATGGGGGAATTAGCTTTGACATACGAGTGCTTTGGATTACAAACACGTTTCCGGAACGAATAATGCTCGCAATCCAAGGTTTTACTGTATATTCAAACATGCTCTTCGAGTGAGAATAGGTTTTCTACTTTTTTCTGGAAACAGGTGTCGAGATGTTAAAACACCAAACTGAAACCTCTCACAAGGAATCACGTCGATGCATTAACCACAATACTTGTGGTCAGAATGCAAACAAAAAACACGCTCTGATAATATGATGGCGTTGTCTTTGAAACTGATTGGTCCACACCAGAGACAGCTTTCTTTTGAGCCTCGTCTCAAACGGTGTTAGACCAGAGGACGCTAAACGGCGTGCTCTTCGAGTGTTTGTGATGATACAAAACTCCCGAGTTGCTGAGGTGATTAAGCAAGCACCATATACATGCTAATATTAGTATTATTATAACATAGTGAATGCTTGGGAGCTTATTGACTCTGGCTCCTAGTTAGAGATCTACCCAACCCGCAGGTCCGCAAAGACTGACCGCTCTTACTCTGCAGGTTGAACCTAGGAATTGAGTGTTAAACTTCGCGTTATTTTTGTTAAAGATCGTATAGACAAAATGTTACATGTGTGGTGGTCACTCTGTAAACACGCACATGCTACACAGTAACTACCAGAGCGAGGTCATTCATAACCCTGATGGAGACCCCGCCTGAGGGGTAGAGGCTGTGAAGTGTGTGTGTGTATGGGATCCCCCAGAACCCTGGTCCTAGACAGAAAGTGGGGTCGAACAAGCACAGATTGTTGGGCTCCCTGTGACCAGCACCTCTCCTGAGGGGAGGGGCCTGCGAGGGATCTGTGATCCCTCGGAACCCCCGCCCCTCGGTGGGAAATGGTATAAAAGGCGGGCTCCTGAGAGCAGGAGGCAGTTCGTCTCAAGCCGAAGCCGTGGAGCCGCCTGAAGAGGAGATCCTGGACCCCAAACCCCGACGTCCTTCTGAGGGCCGGGGCTCAGTGCGGTGCCAGTGATCAGCAGGCTAGGGCCCTGAAGTTCCCTCAGCCCGACGTCCTTCTCAGGGCCGGGTCTGGACGGGCCAGTGGTCAAAGACCCACCGGTGCCAGCGGTGGGTCAGCCTCCCCTAGGTCCAGCTAGCCGGAGGGCTAGAGTAGTAGTTCGACCCAAGGCTAGAGTAAGCTAGCCCGGAGGCTGTACCTCCCTAGGTTGTGGGTAAAAGGAACCGTTACCCCTTCGTGTTAAGGACCTAGGGAATCGTTAAGGATATAAATAAAATAGTTTAATTCCTACTACGACTCCGTCTCCATCTATGACTACTACACATGTACACACAAAATCAGACAAGTATTCATTAATTTTGATTTAAAGCTTTCGTGACTGCTACAATTATCATCAGGTGTGAAAACCACAGCAATAATTTTTTCTTGCTGTGGCAGCTGAAAAAAATGACATTTGATTAAAATATGCTTATTTAAATTAGGCTCGGCTTAATTATCTAGGGGTATATTACCAATTGTGAAAATAAAATGGTTGTTTTAGTGTAATTCTATCAGGTATCAGAATTCAGATCCCCTAGTTAAAGATCTACCCAACCCACAAGTCCACAAATACTGAGCGCTCTTGCTGTGCAGGTTGAACCTAGGTATGGAGTTATTTTCATTAAAGGCCTGTGACAAAGGTGAATCTATTCGGGCTTCATTGTCTCAATCTTACACATCTACAGGGTCTCCATTTGACTTTGTATTGTCTAAGAAGTCCACCCACACCTCCACTTCCACAAACTGCTGGGAGTTGCCTCGCTCTGCCTCACAGTCGGAATTCTCCTCCTGCTTCACGTCGCCTCCATTGATGTGAAGGTCCGATTTTGGAGTTGAATCTTCATCTTCACATTTCACCTTCACTTCTTCGCTCTTCACCGTCACCTCTTCAAATTTCACCTTGAAACATTTCATAGTGTCCAAGCTGGAATTCACTTCTGGTTCTTTTTTCAGGAGGGATGGGCTCATTGCAGCACTTTGACTTTCACAAGTCGATTTCAGACTACACTCCTTGGCGATCTTCTGATGCCTGTGTGTTCTCTGGTGTCGATGCAGAACTGATGACTGTGAAAATGCCTTCTCACAGACAGTGCAATTGAAGGGTTTCTCTCCTGTGTGTGTTCCCTGGTGCCTTTTAAGATCAGATGAACTTGAAATTGCCTTCCCACACACAGTGCACTTGAAGGGTTTCTCTCCTGTGTGCGTTCTCTGGTGTTTTTTAAGATTTGATGACTGTGAAAATTCCTTCTCACACACACTGCACTTGAAGGGGTTATCTCCTGTGTGTATTCTTTGGTGTGCTTTAACATAAAATGAAGTTGAAAATGCCTTCCCACACACACTGCACTTGAAGGGTTTCTCTCCTGTGTGCGTTCTCTGGTGTATTTTAAGATTTGATGACTGTGAAAATTCCTTCTCACACACAGTGCACTTGAAGGGTTTTTCTCCTGTGTGTGTCCTCTGGTGTGTTTGAAGACGTGATGACCGTGCAAACGCCTTCCTGCACAGAGTGCACTTGAAGGGGTTCTCTCCTGTGTGCCTTCTCTTGTGTCTCTGAAGATCTGATGACCGTGCAAATGCGCTTCCACACACAGTGCACTTGAAGGGTTTCTCTCCTGTGTGTGTTCTCTGGTGGATCTGAAGACCTGATGAATGTGCAAATGCCTTCTCACAGACAGTGCACTTGAAGGGTTTCTCTCCTGTGTGTGTTCTCTGGTGGCTCTGAAGAACTGACGACTGTGAAAATGTCTTCTCACAGACAGTGCACTTGAAGGGTTTCTCTCCTGTGTGTGTTCTCTGGTGGATCTGAAGACCTGATGAATGTGCAAATGCCTTCTCACAGACAGTGCACTTGAAGGGTTTCTCTCCTGTGTGTGTTCTCTGGTGGCTCTGAAGAACTGACGACTGTGAAAATGTCTTCTCACAGACAGTGCACTTGAAGGGTTTCTCTCCTGTGTGCCTTCTCTGGTGGATCTGAAGATTTGATGACCGTGCAAATGCCTTCTCACAGACACTGCACTTGAAGGGTTTCTCTCCTGTGTGTGTTCTCTGGTGGTTTTTAAGATGTGATAACTCTGCAAATGCCTTTTCACACACACTGCACTTGAAGGGGTTCTCTCCCCTGTGTGTCCTCTGGTGTTTTTTAAGATGTGATGACTCTGCAAATTCCTTCTCACACACACTGCACTTGAAGGTTTTCTCTCCCGTGTGTGTTCTCTGGTGTCTTTTAAGATGTGATGACTCTGAAAATGCCTTCTCACACACAATGCACTTGAAGGGTTTCTCTCCTGTGTGCGTTCTCTTGTGCTGTGCCAAACTTCCAGTACTACCCGTGCTGTATGCACACTGGTCGCATTGTTTATTTTTTGTACCGAGCTGCGCCGAGTGCCGTTGCTTCATCAGACCAATTCTGAAGAGGAAGCGTCAGAGGAAGAGTCAGCTGCAGTCATAAAAATGTATCCACACCATCTACGTCAGTATCAAGACACAGAGGAATGCATATATACAGTCACACATGACTTACACATCTATACTTATTCATATATTCATGATACAGTGAAAATTATTCCCCAATTCATCACGCCGGCTGTTCAGGCACACAATGAGAGGGCCAATGGTCATAAATATTCCTGGATGCCCTAGTATCTTCAAAATGAATGTTTACCCAAAACTCCAAGCACACAATTTCGGCTGTCTAGCTATGAAAGGAATATTTAAGAAGAATTCAGCTATAATAGCAAAGTGTGTTGAAAATAATACTATTTGTATGATGCAGAAATGCATAAATTAATGTTCAATCGAAACTTCGAGGTGGAATCCAGGCTCAGATTTGCTTTAATGCTCGGATGAACAGATCTAACTTCAGCTGCATATGTGGTGAGATATTTTCCTGACTGTTTCCATCCTTACAAAAAGTCCCAGAGGAAAATTAAAATAAACTATTGTTTTGATTTAACCTCCATGTTCAATCGTTAATATACATTACTGCAAATACAAACTTGACATCGTCACACACTGGCATGGTAAAAAGGTGGTAGAACCATGCCTGGCCACCTTCATCTGCTCATTATTAATGCTTTCTCACTTCACCATGTAATTAATTTAAGATCAATCAACATAGCAGAGGCCCACAATAAGTTCAGCTTTCACTTACACTATGTAACACGATTTTTTTTTGTCGCCGGATGGCTAGTGTTATTTTTTTATTGGTCATGCCCACAAACTTTCCTTTTGTAACCAGGACTTTACGTAAAGGAATGACACAAATGCGCACGTTTTCTCATTGAAAATAGGTACATTTCAAAAGATCACTGTCCTGGTCACAAAGGCAAAGTTTGTGGGGAATAATAGCCATTTTCTGTACTTTTGAGGCATAAGCAATTAGAAAATAACACTTACTACGCAGGGACAATTTTTTTTGTTACAGTGTTATCAATCATGTTTGCTGTTGGCGATAATCAAACTAATTGTCGAGTTCATAATGCAGTGAAATAACTGCGAGATAAACTCTTAAATACACGTACATTTCACATGGATCATTAACATATTATACGAACAAAACATCCAACATTCATGACGAATTGCAAGTAACCTTTTCCCAGTGCTAATGCCGTGATAGGTGCAATTTAAGGCCATGTAAGTGTGGATTCCTTGTCAATAGGTAATGGGAATGATCCAGGTGTCAAGGCATGACTGACAGAAGAACCAGCTGTGCTCCCCACTGTCTTGCTGGGTTTGATGAACCCAGCGTTCCACCTATTATTCATGTGGGCGTTGCTCTTCCGACCTCATCGTTATTGCAGAGCAACTATCTCTTATCTGCCATGAAGCATACCTCACTGGGCCTCCTCCACAGAGGCCGATCTCCGCTCCTGGCACCAGTCATCGGCAGGTCCGATCACCTCCACATCCTCCAATCTCTTCTCTAGCCAATGCCTCGCCTGATCAGCCCCTAATATCTGGACAAAAAGCTGGTTGATCATGCAGTGTCTGGGAATGCGGGATTCATGACCAAACCAATGCAGCCTCGCCTGCCAAAGAAACTCAAGATTATATTCTATATTGATATCTAAGGGTCTGTAAGCTTCTAAATAGAATATAAACTGGTTGAAGAGAGGATGAATCATAGGCAGGCCAGCCTTCACTGTATAAGCCAGCACAGATGGTCATTTAAATAAGTTCATATTTTGAATCCACAGAGTAATATCTGTGGCCAAGAAGAATCACAGCTTTGTCCATTAGTTTCTGAAAATGCTTGTCCTGGTGAGGGTCACGGTGGCAGTACGCTGAGAAGGGCGGTCCAGGCCTCCCTTTCCCTGGCGACAGACTCCAGCTCATCCTGGGGAATTCCCAAGCGTTCCCAGGCCAGCCGAGTGACATAGTCCCGCCCACGTGTCCTGGGGCAAGCCCTGGGGTCATCGCCCAGTGGGACGTGTGTGGTAGAGATCCAGGGGGAGTCTATTGGGGGGGCATCCTTACATATATTCTATATTGATTTCACCCCTAGAGCCAGGGCCCAGGGGTTGTGCTCACCAACAAGCGCCTCGTGACCTCGTGACCCATGTAGCTCAGTCAGGCCAACTCGAATTGGCTAAGTGGTGCCATCCTGTGCGTCGAACATCCGCAGGATGAAGGGTGAGGGGCGGATGCGATGCCAGTATGGCAGGGAGAGGGATGGTCTCAGACGGACTAGACATTAGCGATGGACACACAAAGCTTTGTACGGAGCAGAAGTCCAGGCACCTTCCACACAATGTAACAGTCTAATGAAAGAATGCTGCTCGACTAATTTGAAGTGAGACTTTGGCTGCCAAACCAGAGCTGGTCGTGAACACATTAACCAGGTATGGAAGCTCCTACAAGACTTGTAGAACTGCCTGATTATTCATGCAGAGTTGAGCAGGTGCAGTGTTGTATGACATGACATTCCCAGGCAGGTCATTTATTTTTGTGGAACATTTGCAAGGCCCCATTTCATGATGGAATTATCAAGGCACAGAACAAGATGCCCTAATTCCATCTCACTGAGTAGCCATTACCAAATCATCAGCAGATGTGACATGGTTGACCAGCAGGGAACGATCCCTTAACTATAACCAGGCATTGATGAGCATATCATTGTAATCATAACGAATGCAATGTTTTTTATATGACGATTTGGAGCTTCTCAAACTACATAGTTATTGAAGATGCTATGTAATGTAATGCATGGGGCCAGAGTGAATTTCTGCCACAAGCCAAGTTGAACAGGAAATGGCTCCGACTCCTGGTCACGCAGCTTTAGACTGTCCTGCCCAAAATCATACAAATCCTCAAATAATGCGAACAGAGGCATAGATTTGAAAACAAATAACAACCCAAAGCCCCAAGCCTCTTTATGGTACTACAGGCCTTAATTAAATCAAGAATGCAGAGATCTAGTTTCTGTTGAAAATCCGTACACCTCTACTGTCGTCAATAGACAGAAGATACGGCAGCCCCTTGAATTTCGCGGAGGTTACGTTCTTGGAAATTGCTGCGCGAAAGATAAAAGCGCGATATTCAATACTTAAGCCTTACCAAAGTAATGGCGTTAAGTAAACGTCAACGAAATTTTACATCACATATGAATTAAGTACTGTATTGTATTCCAAATAAACTATACAATTGAAATAAAGAAGAAGAAACCGGATACAAAAAATATTCCAAGACAAAAAATTAGTATAAACCTATAAAGATAAAGCAGACTTTGCGCTTGTGTAGATTTTTTTGTGAACCAAATTGCGCCAACACACCCCAAACTCTCCACACACACTCATGGGCGAGTTAGTGTGTTCTTCCCATCTGCTGCTGGCCTGTTAAACAAGGCCAAGGGCTTACACTGTTTTTAACATTTTATCTATAAAATGACACCTTGCCGATACTAACTATGCTAACCTATTTGTATTTATTATTTTAAAATTATATCTTAAAGCTATTTTATATTCGATATTTATTCAATTTTATATACTTCAGCCCCTTGGTGTTAGACTTTTAACCCTTATTATAGTAAGACTTGTTTAAAACTTATTTAAGATTTTAGATTCCTATATGTTGAATGTATGCACCATCCTGCCAAAGTAAATTCCGTGTCGGTGTGAACTTACATGGCGAATAAAACCCTTTCTGATTCTGATTTTCCACTATTTTTAGCTTCCCTGCTCACCTTCAACACCTGTACCACGTGCACACTCCAAACCCCCCCCCCCCCCCGCTCCTCACCTCCCCCCATTGCTTTCTCTTGCCATGTGTTAAAGCCCAGGGTATTCTCACAACTTCCGGTTTGCCACACATGCAAACGCATATTGACGTTTCATCTACGACAATTCCACGCACTCACCATGACATAAGTGTCTCCATTGCACTGCTACATTTGTTCTCACAGATCTACTTGCAAGTCTGACAATCCTAGACAGGCTCGCCAGCATTGCAAAAAATGTCATCAACACCAAGAGGCAAATCCTGCAAGGTGATGATGGCTACCATTTCCCACTTCGCCAAACTGACCCAGCAACAAGTTGCCAACACAAAAAGATTGCCGCCATGGACTTCTTTGCCTTCAGGATCATGGTGTGAAACGGCAGCTTAAATCTCTTCTTGAGACGCAAAAAGCTCTTCCACTAATCTGCTGTCGACATGTATGCCAAAATTGAAGCTTCATTCGATTAAACCTATCAGATGGAAAAAAACATCCAACATTGTCTATCTTGAAGCTCTCCAAGGGCCACGGATTTACAAGCCCTGCGATTGTATAACACAACCGAAAACCCGTTACAAAAACACACATTTACCGACTTCACTGTCAGAAATAAATTATTCTAACAAAGCCAGCATGGCAAGACATTACCCTTAATGTTTGATTACTGAGACCTGTGCGAAGCCGGGTAACTTAGCTAGTACTGAAAAAATACTATATCTTAGATGTTGGTGCTTGAATGGGGAGCGGTAGTCCAACGGTTAGCGTCCTGAGCTATAATCCCAGCGAGCCGATTTGTATTCCTACAGAGCCAAGCCACGACATTTGGCTGTCACCTGATGAAGCTGGTTATAATTACTGGCGAAACATCGTACTCAGATTGTAAATGTTGTGGCTTGGCTCTCCAACACACAACCGGTGTGCTGTACTAGTGACGAATTTGCCACGTTCTTTTGACGTGACAACCCTTACTAGTTGGCTGTGTCAGGTGGTAGGCGGGTTTAACGACACATTTATATATCTTCTTTGGTTCTTTCGGTAAAGTCACGTAGAATGAGAATAAAATAATAAATTAATAAAATAAAATAACACAATAAAATTTTCACGACGTTTCGGCCACAACACAAGTGGCCTTCATCAGGTGAAGGGACCAGACTGTCTCGAGGATAGCGCTGGAGTGAACACAGCCAAGCTCA